CTCTACCCCCTTTATATTATTATACATGCCTGATGATGAATTAATCGAAAACATTCGTTCGCCTATCTTGACTTCTAGAAAAGTAGAGTAATTTAGCCACCCAGTTGGTTAAATTTGCTCTAATGGTAGCACTACTTAAAATTGACACCACCTCTATTCACAAAAAAAGTGTTCATTTACTAACACTCTTTACTGTGTACATAACATTGTACAGATGGCCATTCCAGTTTCCCTCGTCTTTGCTGACAATTCTGTCTACCTGTACTACTCGCTGCTACAGCTGCTGTCAGGGCTCGAGAAATGAGGCCCAAGACAAAGGCACAACGGCCCGAGTGAGTTCCGTTAGCGGTCGGTGGGCGTTCGTCAACAAGTGTGATTAAATTCACAGCACAGGCGCGGCGTCGTAGCTCAAATCAGTAGAGCGTTGGCTGCGTAAAGGCCTTCCCTGCTGTGCGGGTTCGTCTCCCGCCGACGCCGCGAGTTTTTTCACAATTGGGTCAACTAAATTAAGCACATCTGCCAAACTCCCTAAGTAAAAAATAAATCAGCGCAACACCTGCCTGAGAAGACAGGTCAACTGTTGATTAGCAATGCAATAAACAAGAGAGTTCGGTATTACAAAGAGATGACTGCGGAAACCTCAACCGAGGAAGCTTCAATGTAGGGGGGGGGGTAGATTGAACGGCGAAATTGTGTAGTGAGACCATGGCATACAAGCACATGGTATTATTGAACCATATGACACATGCAAGTGTCTCTACAGTAGCTCCCCTGCAGGGAACGTGCGACCTCTAAGTCAATACTTTTTGTTAAGGAAGCCACGCTCCAACAGTCTGGAAACCTGATTCCTCTGTCTAGGTCTCCTACAGACAGATCATATCGGATTCCCGTCTGAGGCATGAAAAATACCACTTTCGGAGGAGTACTAAAACAGGAAGTTTAGACATTTGAATCTACATTAACTAAAGCACCTTATATTAAAAATACGATGGGAAAAATGAAGCTAAATCAGAGACGACAAAACGAACAAGGGTTCTAAAAATTGGAAAAGAACAATAATCTCACGCAGATTCCTCTGTTTCATTGTGAAGTTCTGACAGCTTCGCCTTCTGTTCAGTTTCCAGTTGCGTGATCATTTGTCGAATAAGTTCGGCGCAGGCAGTGTACTGGGTTAGTTGCAGATTATTGTCCATAGACAACTGAAGAAGGTGTGGGATGACGCGGGTGGCAAGAGCATCCCTCGAAATACCGAGTTTTTTGTGAAGAAAAGCCACCCTGTAAATGGCTGTTGCGGCCCGAAAAAAATGCAGGTAA